TAATTTTTGTGCCTCAGACCCCCAAACTTGACTTGTCCCACACTTAGGGATATATTATGCTGCTTCTCCCCTCACTCTCAGAAGGTGGTGGTAGACTGTGGAAGTTGTGTTTATTTTGGGGAAAAAACCTAAATGGTGATGCTAATGAATCTATGTCCTCCTTCCCCTTTTGTGAATAATTAACTTTATGTTCAAGACCCCCGGTTTTGCCTGATTTCCAGACTTGTAGAGTCAACTTTCTAGTGGATGTTTTCACCTCAGTTTCAGTCTTCAAAACTGTACTCATAACTATAATCACTACTACCCCCTGCCCTTTGAAAAGTAGTTGGTAAAGGGACCCTGGAATAAGCCAAGTTCAGTTTCAAGAAGGGAGGATAGGTCAGTGGCAGCCACCTGTGGCTCATGTTGAGAAGAGGGAAAACAGGATGAATTTGTCATGTAGTAGAGCCTTGATCTGTGGACCAGACCATCTTCCCATTCTTCCTCCAACGTATATACTCACAAAACTTTGTATATAATATTAAGGGGACTAAATCTTCAAATCTACCCGTAGACCTGGCTTAAAGCTAGTTTAGTAGCTTGAACACAGCCAGGTAATAAGTGAGTGGAAGAAGTGAAAGGGGTGGTAGAGACATTCTTAAAGACTTTTGGAATAAGGGCAGAAATTGATTTTCAGCAAGGGAGATTCAAGCACAGGTTAGGAAAAGGCATCTGGGGAAAGATTAATGATGAAGATGGGAGCATCATCCATTGGAGAAGATATACAGTGGGATCATTAGCCCAGGTTGGGGACAAGAGGAAGAAATTGGAGCAGTTTTGAAATAGAGAAGAAGTTGAATTGGTTAACTTATATTTTCAGTGCCAAGAAAAAAATAATTCAAATAATTTGTCAGCAGACCTAAAGCAGCTAAGGAGAATGGTAGGCAAGTTTCTCAAGGTTTTAAAAATTGTCTGCTTCACATAACACTTTTTGTAATTGGGAGTATATGAAATGGAAAACAAAAGTGAAAGAGACTGCTTAATCATATTTTCTCAGTGTTTTTTCACTTTATGTATGAAAGAGCTTCTATGTTTACTCTTATCACCAGTTTTATCAATCTTAAGGTCTTTTTTTGTTGTTGCCAATTTAATCAGTGAAACAAAATCTTGTTTTAGTAATTTGCATTTTCACAATTATTAATGAGGTTGGGAGGCAGGATAGTGTAGCAGTTAAGAGCTGTGGACTCCCTTGGTTAGAATCCCATTTTTCCAGTTAGTACTGATACAGATTATTTGCTTTTTGCTTTCTGTGCCTCCCTTTCCTAAATTTTTTTTTTTTTTTTTTGAGTTGGAGTCTCATTCCGTTGCCCAGGCTGGAGTTGCAGTGGCATACTCACGGCGACCCCAGCGTTGACCTGCTGGGCTCAGGTGATCCTTCTGCCTCAGCCTTCCAAGTAGCGGAACTGCAGGCATACGCTACCACACCCAGCTAATTTTTGAATTACTGTAGAGACACGGTCTCACCAAGTTGCCCAGGCTGGTCTTGAACCCCTGGGCTCAGGTGAGAGGATTGCTTTGGCCTCTCAAAGTGCTGGGATTACAGACTTGAGAGAGGGATAATAGTTCCTATTGTATATACTTGTGAGGATTAAAATATGCTACAGACAGTGGGTAATGTGGAAAGCTCTGTTTTAAAATTAGGTGTTATTTCGTGTATCTTTTTGGTTACTTTATTTCTTTTTCTGAGATTTTTCATGTCCTTTGCCTGTTTTTCTACACAGGTGTCTTTTTTTCTTATTTTGTAATGTTTTGGATATATATAATACAGATATTTTCTTCTACTCTGCTTGCCTTTCAGTTTTGATAGACAAATCTGTCAGATCTCATCCTGATGCCTCTGAATTTTGCCTAGAGAAGGGCACGTTTTAACCCCTTGCATTTGGAGACATCTTGCAGATCACCTACTAGCAACTCAACCTCACTTTTTAACGAAGTGATGTCAAACGAATCACTTCATATTAAATAGTATAGCGTTGGAACCAATTATTTTATTGTATTAGTATTTGGCTTATAATGGAATTTTGAACATTGAGGAACTTATTATGACATCAGTATTTTATGTGTTATATTTCTAACGTGTGGTAGTGTGTGAAACTGTCACCAAACATGCATTGCAGGTTCATTGATACATGTTGAGCAATTGTAATTTGTTTGACGTCTTCCACCTGGTGTTTTTCTATTCAAGCAGACAGTACAGTCTTGTTTTCTTCCTCCCGCATTCATAATATGTAATTTATTGTCCAGTCTGTTGTTTGAAGACAATGTGGAAGGATATACTCATTCCTGAAAACCCTTTCTCATCTGATCGATCAGAAACTGGACAAATTTCAAATGGGACATAGGTTTTTCGTTGTTTCTGAACAGAAAACTTCAAGGAAAATTTGTTCTTGCATAAGTTTGTCCTGTATAATTACCCAGCAGTGTCTTTATGCCCCCCAGAGGGGACATCCGGGTGCAAAGTGTTAAAATCAGAGTTTTTGTATGTATGTTTTAATCAAGTTTTAAACCCATACTTTATATAGTTGTGTTGTTCACAGTTTCCTTGATTAATCCACCTATAATTTATTCTTTTTGTGTGGTATAAGTCATCCTTTTTTTTTTTTTTTTGGAGTTGGAGTCTCACTGTGTCGCCCAGACTGGAGTGCAGTGGCTGCTCTCGACCACCACAGCCTCGACCTGCTGGACTCCGGCGATCCTTCCGCCTCAGCCTTCCAAGTAGCTGGAACTACAGGCGCGCGCTACCACGCCCAGCTAATTTTTTTGATGTATTGTAGAGATGAGGTCTCGCCAAGTTGCCCAGGCGGGTCTCGAACCCGTGGGCTCAGGATCTACTCACCTCAGCCTCCCAAAGGCGCGGGATTCAGGCTGAGCCACTGAGCCTGGCTCATCCTTTTTTTTTTTTTTTAAACGATAGAGAACTCGAAGAGTTATATCTGAATTAGAGTTAGCTCTACATAACTTGGGCAAACCCCTGCTGGCTCTTATTCTTGACTCTGAAAAATGGAGATAGTAATACCCACCTCTGTACTGCATAGATTGGGTATGAGAGTCAAATGAGTTGTGGCAAAGCATTCAGTAACTACTTGTGATGCTTTGTTCACCTAAGTATCTGGTGGTAAATACTTGGGTATGAATATTATTGAAACAAATGAGCTCTAGGTGTGTTTTATATACTATATTGTAAATTTGATCATCAATGTCTTAAACCAGATTAAAATTAGAAAAAGTAGAAATTAAACTGCAATGCTTGTGGTAAATCTTTCAATCTCTGAGAGCCAGTGAAACAGTTTGTGGGTTAAGTGTTATTTAAATTTTGGGTAAACATGAACTGTTCTGGGCAAAATGAAAGGTGTGGTCACCTTACTTAAAACCAAATAGACCAGCCAGTGACACTCCAACTCAAAAAAAAACAACAACAAAAAAACCCCACAAATACCTATAACCAGTCGGCTAAGTTTCTCTATATGTTAGCACATTAGAATCAATCACTGGGGGAGGCTTTTTAAAATTATGCTTAGGCCTCACTCCCAAATATTGTAATTTATTCCAGCTAGAGAGGAGTCTGAGCATCATTGTTTTTAAAAGCACGTCAGGAGGGCTGGGCTCAGTCTGTAATCCCAGCACTTTGGAAGGCTGAGGCGAGAGGATTGCCTGAGCCCGCGGGTTCAAGGCCTACCTGGGCAACTTGGCAAGACGGTGTCTCTACAATAAATCAAAAATTAGGGCCAGGCTCGGTGGCTCAGCCTGTAATCCCAGCACTTTGGAAGGCTGAGGTGAGTGGATTGCTTGAGCCCACAGGTTTGAGACCCGCCCGGGCAACTTGGCGAGACCTTGTCTACAATAAATCAAAAATTAGCCAGGTGTGGTAGTACGCGCCTGTAGTTCCAGCTACTTGGAAGGCTGAGGCAGAAGGATCGCTCGAGCCCAGCAGGTCGAGGCTGCAGTGGCCGGGAGCGGCCACTGCACTCCAGTCTGGGCAACAGAGTGAGACTCCAACTCAAAGAAAGAAAGAAAGCAAGCACACCAGGTGATTATACGGGGCAGCTAAAGGTGAGGCCCACTGGTTTAATGACTATAGAATTGAGGATTTGGTAGCATTCTTTTATACTCCTTTGCTAGTTAGATTGCAAAGAATTCCTGTTCTTACACTGTTGTGGCCTGTCCAGAAGTGCCTGTGGCCAAAACCTTGCCAAAAATGGGGAGCTGAGATCACTTGACAAATTTGGTTGTATTGTAGTAGTTGTATATAGTTTGAACCCTCTTCAAATGAGATTTCTTCATGTTTTTTTGGGAGGGTCTTAAACAACAGAAATTTGTTTTCTCACAATTCTGGAGGCAGGAAGTTTAATATCAATGTATCAGCAGATTTGGTTTCTTCTGAGGCTTTCTCCTTGGTTTGCAGATAGTTTGCCTTTTTGCTGTGCCTTCACGTGATCTTTCCTATGTGTGTACCCTGGTGTTTCTCTCCAAAGTGTTTTCAAAGTTTATGTTAAGTCCACTTGTAGGCTTATTTTTAAAAACCATTTATAATAAATTAGTATCAGTGATAAATGTTCGTTGTGCAGTCTTTCCTGAAATGTTTTTAAAATTCGTTTTATGCTTTATGTCTTGAGCACATGTTTTTACATTGTGTTTAAGGCATTAGCAAATTGAAGACAGATAGTTTTGCTGTTCCAGTTATGGAATATTATTAACCAAAATGACAACTAAGTACTTTGCATCAGTTCCAGGAGAAAATGGAAGTATTTTATAATAAGACTGTACTTGTATGTTTTCTTGGTATACTAACTGGTATACTATTGCCAGTTTAAATTGAATGTAGTATTAATGAAAACAAGCTTTTTACTCATTTATATGGGTACCTTCTCCAGACTAGATTTGCTGGTGATACTAAATTTGGACAGTTCTGTAATTCATGTTTTTATATCTAAAATAATATTTTTTTCTCCTTCTACTTGTAGGTTATGCAATGGTCTCTGCAAGATGGTTTATTCTTGAATTGGAGCTTTTTAAGACTGACAAATGCTGGTACTTCATCTTCTATAAGTGGACTATAATTTCTTTTCTCAAGACAACTACTTAAGCAGACAAAATTGCAAAGATCTGCCCTGTGTCGAGTATGACAGCCACAACTCGTGGCTCTCCAGTCGGAGGGAATGACAACCAGGGCCAGGCTCCTGATGGACAGTCTCAGCCCCCCCTCCAGCAGAATCAGGTAGGAAATTGAAGCTACATTGATATGTCCACTGTGGGGTACAAAATAATGGAGCAAGGTCTGAATACTGTGATGCTACCATAAAATTATTTTCTTTAGCCGTGCTTGGTGGCTCAGCCTGTAATCCCTTGCTTTGGGAGGCTGAGGTGAGTGGATTGCCTGAGCCCGTGGGTTCGAGACCCACCTGGGCAACTTGGCGAGACCTCATCTTTACAATAAATCAAAAAGTCAGCTGGGCGTGGTAGCGCATGCCTGTAATTCCGGCTACTTGGAAAGCTGAGGCGGAAGGATCACCGGAGCCCAGCAGGTCGAGGCTGCGGTGGCCAGGAGCGGCCACTGCACTCCAGTCTGGGCGACAGAGAAACTCCAACTCAAAAAAAAAAAAAAAAAAATTTATTTTCTTTATTTAAGAAAAGTGAACCATAGGTCTTGCATAGTAACAAAAGAAAGCTCAGGTGCTGTTGATGGTGATGCCTGAGTATGCAGCCCATTTTTTTCTGGTGTCATACTATGTCCGTCATCATTAAAATTAAGTATTTATAAGCCCTGTGTCAATTCTGGGGGAAAGCATTAAATCATTCATGTAGCCTGTGGTTAAGAGCATGGACCCATCATAAATTACAGCATTACTTTGTACCCCATAAATTTATACAATTATAAGCTGTCGATTTACAATAAAATTTTTAGAAGGGCATTGACTCATCATGTTGCTAGTGTTCAGATTTCAGCTTTGTGCTATACTAGTTTTATGACTGTGTAAATTACATAACCTCTAAGCCTCAGTTTCTTTATCTATACAATGAGGATAATAGCGTAACTACTTCATAGATTGTTAAGAGGATTAATTGAAATGATGTTTGCAAAGCACATAACATAGATTTTGGTATCAGGGTTTTATGCTGGCCTCAGAGCTTCTAGGGTAATAATCGTTCTTTTTCTGTTCGCTGAATGAGTTTATGTAAGGTTTCTGTTATTTCTTTATTAATTTTTTGGAAGATTTTACTGGTGGAATCTATGACCTGGGGTTTATTTGTGGAAAGATTTTAATTGCAGACCGAAGTGTTTTTTTTCCCCCTAATACAGGAATTTTTCTATTTTTAGTGTTTTTTGTTAAGTTGTATTTCTCAAGGAATCTACCCATTTCATGTAGGTTTTCAGATTTATTGAGGCAAAATTGTTTATAATATATTTTTAAATTACCTTTTTAGTGTCTTAAAGTCTGTGGTAATATATCCTTGTTCATTTCTGATACTGCTAATTTGTGTTCTTCTGATCTGTCTTTCTAGTGGTTTACCAATTTCCTTAAACCTTCCAAAAATTAAAAAAAAAAACTTTTTGGCACCCCCCCCATTGTGTGCTTTTTACCCTTATCTCTTTGTTTTTTTTTTAAATTTCTTTTGGATTTGGTTTGCTTTTCTTTTTCTCATTCCTTGAAATGGAAATTTAGATCATTGATTTCAACCTTTTCTAATATATACAGTTTTATAATGGTAAGTATTAAACTGAATGATAAGACAAACATTAAAACTTAAGCCGGGCTCGGTGGCTCAGCCTGTAATCCCACGCTTTGGGAGGCTGAGGTGAGTGGATTGCCTGAGCCCGCGGGTTCTAAACCCGCCTGGGCAACTTGGCGAGACCTTATCTCTACAATAAATCAAAATGAGCCGGGTGTGGTAGTGCACGCCTGTAGTTCCAGCTACTTGGAAGGCTGAGGCGGTAGGATTGCCGGAGCCCAGCAGGTCGAGGCTGTGGTGGCCAGGAGCGGCCACTGCACTCCAGTCTGGGTGACAGAGTGAGACTCCAACTCAAAAAAAAAACCAAAAACTTATGATATGGAAATCAAACCATGCTTAGAGGTAAGTTAGCTAAGGTGTGTGCTGTAAGTTGGTACATGTTTATGTAGATCTGTGAGGATAATTTTTTAGTTAAAAGTGCTATCTTAGAGTACTTGTATTTGTCATTTGAGGATAAGTTATTATTGTCTAGCTGTTATAGATCAGATATTTTCTCTGTCATAAGTATGATTAAAAAAAGAAATCCGCTCAGTCTCCCTTTCCGCCTGCCATTTTAGAGATGTGAGCAGGTTGAATTTTTTCTCTCCCAAATGTGTCAGTTTTAATTCCTTTTTCTCTCTAGTTCCCATTCTTTTTTTTTTTTTTTGAGTTGGAGTCTCACTCTGTCGCGCAGCCTGGAGTGCAGTGGCCGCTCCTGGCCACCACAGCCTCGACCTGCTGGGCTCTGGTGATCCTTCTGCCTCAGCCTTCCAAGTAGCTGGAACTACAGGCATGCACTACCACACCCGGCTAGTTTTTGATTTGTAGAAATGAGGTCTCACCAAGTTGCCCAGGCGTGTCTCGAGCCCGTGGGCTCAGGCAATCCACTCACCTCAGCCTCCCAAAGCACGGGATTACAGGCTGAGCCACTGAGCCCAGCTTCTAGTTCCCACTTTTAAGACGTAAGACCTGTAGAAATATACTTTAGTATTTAAAATACTAAAGTATATTTCTATAGGTCTTAGGCAGAGTTAAAAATCTTTCCTGTGTCATAAATTGCTAACCAGTATTCAGGTTTCTTTAAGCATAGTCAAAGGCGTGTGTCGGATGCCAGAGATGTCTAATTTTAAACCAGGAGCTAGTAGTTAGTTCCATTATCTTTCCCTCTCTCTTTCTATTTTATATCTGCATTGTGCATAAAATTCTAACTTCGTTCGCAATGTTTGTGGCTTATATGGCTTTATATAAAAGTCAAACCTTTTCTTTAACTTCATTGTTATTTTAAGGTAGGTATACTTGATGATTTTTATTTTATTTATTTGTTTGTTTCTGTTTTTTTTTTTTTATTTATTTTTTTTGAGTTGGGAGTCTCTCTCGGTCGCCCAGACTGGAGTACTGTGGCACGTTCCTGGCCACCGCAGCCTCGACCTGCTGGCCTCTGGCAATCCTTCCGCCTCAGCCTTCCAAGTAGCCAGAACTACAGGCGCTTACTACCACGCCTGGCTAATTTTTTTTTTTTTTAATTTATTGTAGAGACAAAGTCTCACCAAGTTGCCCAGGTGGGTCTCGAACCTGCGGGACTAGGCAGTCCAGTCACCTCGGCCTCCCAAAGTGCTGGGATTACAGGCTGAGCCACCGAGCCTGGCCTATACTTGATTTTTAGAGTTCTTGGATTTGTGATATTCAATCTAGTAGTATATATTTACATTATGTTCTTTTCCTTCTAAAAGCTCTTTATGTATTTGAAAGTGGCTGGCAAGGACACCAAAGGAATGAAACAAATTATGTTGTCTATAGAGTTTCTCACTCTTTGACTTCATTATTCTGTTTTTTTTTAATGTTATGGTTTTAATTATTTCACAAGATCTGACCCTTTTGGACCAAGAAGCAACTGAAGTGTTAATTATTGTTCAACTTAGGGCTTACTTTGTGGTTATAGTTTTTATATGTTGGCATAAAGGGAATTTCTAAAATTAGAGTTTTCACTTAATTTTTAAAAAGTGTGTCCCCACAGGAGAGAATTTTACGCTCTGGTATTTAGTAAAATTCGAGGATAAAGAAACAGCCTTGGCAAAAGCACGATGGGGTGAACACTCCTGAATGTGGTTGCTGGGAGGGCACAGATTTTATGGAATGGGATTTGGCAGTATATATGTCTTTGCCTTGAAGAAATTGTTCATACTGTTCTACTAATTATATTTCCAAAATCTTATCCTAAGAAAAAATTAAAGTTCAACAGATTTATATATTAAAAGATTCATTACAGCTGTGTTTGTGTTTTTTAGTAAAAATTACAAACTACTAAATTTTAGTATTTACAAAATACCAAACTTGCCTTATTTTTGCTTGATTCATGTAATACTATCTGGCCATTCATTTTTTAAAGTTTTGTTTTTAATCTACCCATCTGCATACTGAATTTTTCTTAAGATTCTCAATAATTTAAACAATTAAATACTCAGAATAGAAAAGGACACAGGCTTAAACAGGCATGATTCTTTTTTCTTTTTTTTTGAGTCAGAGTCTTGGTTGCCCAGGCTGGAGCGCAGTGGCATACTCACGGCCACCCCAGCATTGACCTGCTGGGCTCTGGCGATCCTTCTGTCTCAGCCTTCCAATTAGCCGGAACTACAGGCGCACGCTACCATGCCCAGCTAATTTTTGATTTACTGTAGAGTTGAGATCTTGCCAAGTTGCCCGGGCTGGTCTTGTACTTGCGGACTCAGACAGTCCACTTGCCTTGGCCTCCCCAAGTGCTGGGATACAGGCTGAGCCACCAAGCCTGGCCAAACAGGCATAATTCTAATTTTATTTATATTTTGACAACTTTTACTTGGCTTATGAAATAAAGATAGCAAGGAAGTAAGTGTCATTGGTAGTACTTATCTGTTGGTGTGGTATTATAGGTGTTTTAAATTTTATTTTTGTGTTTATATCTTCTATGAGCATGTACAAAATATATACGAGGGGAAAGGAAGTTTTTTAAAAAATAATAAAACAGGCCTCCAAAGTTATGTACTTCAGATATTTCTGTTGGACTTCTAACACTTGAATTCTGTGCTATAGTTTCCTTTGCCTTGAGATTAGCTCTGTAGATACTTGCACAGTGTTTTCCATATTAAGTAAAATTCACCGTTTAGTTGCTAATTTGCCATACAGGTTCATGTATAAACTCTTTAAGTATAACATGTTAATGATGGTATATCCATTTGTTTTCATGTAAGCATTTACTTATGCAACTCTGTTTATTTTACAACTGGTTAATAGGTACTTGAATGATAGGGAGAGGGGCCCTCTTCTTTAAAAGGGCTATCAACCTACGTTAAATAGAAAATTCAAGAACACATTAATAAAAATCAATTGAAAATTTAGGCTGGTTTCATTTTGAAAGAAAAAATACCACTTGCTTCCCTCCTTTCCTCTTTCCTCTCTTGAGACAGGCTCTTGCTATGTTACCCAGGCTGGTCTCGAACTTCTGGCCTCAAGTGATCCTCCTGCCTTGGCCTCCCAAAGTACTGGGATTACAGGTGTGAACCACCATGCCTGGCCACCTGCTTTCTTAATTAAGAGTAAAGGTCATAAAAGTTCATTCACTTAGTTGTAAAAATACTACGCACAGTTAAAGTAGGGGGGAAGAGACTTGCTAAAAATGAGAAATGGAAGATACGAAAATTGGTCATAATAGTTGAAAGTGATGTGGTTTATTTAGGAACCATAATCATGAAGTTTAAAATTATTGTTTGGATAATAGCTTGAGAGTAGAGAAATTATGGAATAATATTTACATTTTCCTCCTTCAAATTAAAAAGTAAAAGTTATAAGTCAGAAACTTTATAATCTGTAAAATGTGGTATTTCATATTAACACATCTGCAATCAGCAAAATTTTCATGTTCCTAATACTGAGAGCAGGTGGAAGTTTAAAAAAACTAAAGCTGGTTGCTGCAAACTTTGGTCATTAAGCGTAAGTGAAATGGTCTTTTCTAAATGGTCACCTTTTTCACAATACAGCTGAAAGTTGGAGATGTATCCAGTATTTGCCTCAGACACTACTCTGACTAGCATTCCGTCCTTTGTATTTTTATTTGGATTATAAACTGAATATATATATATTTTCTTCGTTTGCATTGCATCATTACATCACTATCTGTCTCAGTATCACTAATAATTAGTTCACTGGATTCACCTTTGACCTCCAAAATCTCATCAGCATATATTCATTTTCCATAATTATGGCAAGTTATTTTTAACATTGAAGTATGAAAGCCCTGAAATATCAAAATACAAGTATGCAACACTAATCACAACATAATAATGACCAACTTGCAATTTTTACCAGCTACGTAAATCAGTGACAACATTGTGCAGTCGATATCAGATAATTATCCCAATTAACTTTCTCCTTGCCTCACTGTTCATTTTTCAGCAGAATATGATAGCACATACATATAACAGTGTTGCAGTATTCAAAAACAGAATTTACAGAGACATAAATTCATGTCAGTGGTAACCAGGAACAGAATTTGGAGTGACGTAAATTCATGCCAGTGATTGCGAATGAGCTAATACAATAGTTTTTATCATGACAGGGCTCATATAATGGGAAGTGTAAGAAGAGAGGCAGCATACGTTATGGTTAAAAAGACAAACTTTAAAGCCGGGCTCGGTGGCTCAGCCTGTAATCCCGCGCCTTTGGGAGGCTGAGGTGAGTGGATTGCCTGAGCCCGCGGGTTCGAGACCCGCCTGGGCAGCGAGACCTCATCTCTACAATAAATAAAAAAATCAGCTGGGCGTGGTAGCGCATGCCTGTAATTCCGGCTACTTGGAAGGCTGAGGTGGAAAGATCACCTGAGCCCAGCAGGTTGAGGCTGCGGTGGCTGTGAGCGTGCCACTGCACTACAGCCTGGGCGACAGAGTGAGATTCCAATTCAAAAAAAAAAGAAAGAAAGAAAGAAAGAAAGAAAACGGCCGGGCTCCATGGCTCAGTCCTTTGGGTGGCCAAGGCGAGTGGATTGCCTGAGTCCGCGGGTTCGAGACCCACCCGGGCAACTTGGCGAGACCTCATCTCTACAATAAATCAAAAAATCAGCTGGGCGTGGTAGCGCATGCCTGCAATTCCGGCTACTTGGAAGGCTGAGGCGGAAGGATCGCCGGAGCCCAGCAGGTCGAGGCTGCGGTGGCCAGGAGCGGCCACTGCACTCCAGTCTGGGTGACAGAGTGAGACTCCAACTCAAAAAAAAAAAAAAAAAAAAGACAAACTTTAGAATAGACTTGGATTCAAATCCTGGCTACAGAGTTTGAGCTATGTGACCTTGGACGACTTTTTTTCCTCATCCGCTAAATGACAGTAGACCGTTTCATCTGGTTGTTGAGGATGAAGTGAAATTATTTTAAAGCACAGTGTTATGGAGACTGCCTGAAGCATTATAAACTTTTAATAATCTTATGTTTTATAAAAATTTACAATACAGTCCATTCTTTGGTATCTGGGGAATTGGTTCCAGAAGCCTTCCCCTACTGTAGCAAAATCCACAGATGCTCAAATCCCTGGTATAAAATGGTGTATTATTTAAATATAACCTATGTACATCTTCCTGTATACTTTTTTTTAATGCTTTAATTTTTTTTTTTAGAGACAGGATCTTGCTCTGTCACCCAGACTGGAGTACAGTGGTGTGGTCATAGCTCACTGCAGTCTTAAACACTTGGAATCAAAGTGATCTTCCTGCCTTAGCCTCTGCAGTAGCAGGACTATAGGCATGCACTACCACGCCTGGCTGATTTAAAACAATTTTTTTTGTAGAGACATGCTCTCATGCTGTTGCCCAGGCTGGTCTCAAACTCCTGGCCTCAAGTGATCCTCCCTCTTTGGCCTCCCAAAGTGCTGGGATGCCCCTCTGGTATACTTTTAAGTCATTTCTAGATTCCTTGTGACACTTAATACAGGGTAAATGGTCGATATGTTGTATTGTTTGGGGAATAATGACAAGCAAAAAAAGTCTGTACATATTCAGTATAGGCAGCAATGTTTTTTCCAAATATTTTTGTCCTGAGCTTGGTTTAATCCATGAATGTGGAAATCACAGATAAGGAGGGTTGACTGTATTCACAAATTTCTTTAGAAATTTGCATAGCTTGTCTGTGTTAATGTTTGAATTACTAGATATTGTACATACGTTTAGAAACTTAAATCTGGAATTTTAATTTTTTAATTAAAGACTTCATCGCCTGATTCTTCCAATGAAAATTCTCCGGCAACTCCCCCAGATGAACAAGGTCAAGGTGATGCGCCACCACAGTTTGAAGATGAGGAACCTGCATTTCCACATACCGATCTGGCAAAGTTGGATGACATGATCAACAGGTAAAGTTGATTTAGTTTTGGTTTTTCATGTGTGTAATTTGCAAGAAAACCAACCAAGTTTCTCAGCAGTGTTTCTAGTAGTGGATACGAGAAGAGAAAGTATACAGGAATGTCATAGTAATCCCACAGCCTCCTTAATAGTCTTCACATCTTAGTCACTGCCACATACTGCCAAATACTTTGTAACCCATGGTTCTTAGTGGATTTATTTATTTTTGAGTTAGGGTCTCACTCTGCTCCCAGGCTGGAGTGCAGTGGCTTGATCATGGTTCACCACAGCCTCAACCTCCTGGGCTGAGGCAATCAATCCTTCAGCCTCAGCCTCCTGAGTAACTAGGAATACTGGCATGTGCCACCATGCCTGGCTAATTTTTTAATTTTTTTGTAGTAGTGAGGTCTTGCTGTGTTGCCTAGGCTGGTCTTGAACTCAAGCAATACTCCCCCGCCTTAGTCTTCCAAAGTGTTGGGATTATAGGCATGAGCCACTGCACCTGGCTGTTGGTTGCTGTTTGACAGTACCTTTAATAATTTTGGGATGCCCTGTGGTAAACCAGGTCATTAGGAGATTGAATTCTCAGATCCTGATCCTTGAACTCTTGACTGGTCTGAGACATTTAACAGTCTCTTACCTATTTGGCGTTTTTTTTTTTTTTTAATCTTTGTCTCATAGAACAGTGTAATTTTTCATACTTCCTCATCCCCATCCCACCCCCACACACTTTGATTATTTTGTGGAAGACTCCAAGAGAGTCAAGCTTTAAACTTCTGTGCTGGGGAAGAAAAAGATTCAAGAGGCTAAGAGAAGAGCATGTCAAGGAATCACATATGACTGTGGTCTTCACTAGGCTCAACAAGTGAGTGCTAGGCAGGTGTGACACATTCCATCCTCACTCCCCCAAAGGAAAGTACAAAACACATGACCTTATGGGCACAGGCACTTGGCTTACTGAGGTTTTTGATTGTATTTCACTTTAGGAAAAGAAGTCCAACACTATTAAGTACATAATATCAGGAAATATTAATTCTTAACATTAAAAATACGGAATGCGTAAGTAATATGCATGCATTGCTAAACATAGAAATATATTATGTAGGTAAATTTTTTTATAATTTCCCCTTATATACACGCATTTGAACCAAAATTTACTGCTAACAATCAGGAGAACATGTTAACATTAGGGAGTACATTCTTCCAGTTTATGTTTACTATCATATGTGAATTGAGTTTTCCACAAATCATGGAATTCTTACTATTTTTGTAACTTACTTTTTTCAGTTCATTTATCTTGAATGTTTTTCTTTTGAAAATACATTTATTGTTTTTAATAGTGTATTTAAAAGAATACGTGAAGTGTGAGTCTGGCAGATGCCTATAGTAATGATGTGCAGTGAATTACAGTCGAACAAAAACTGTATGAAGCTGTTCATAGTGGTCCCTGACTGTTCTCAGTAGCAGAGATATTATAGCAGAAGGTTGTAGTTTTGCCTTTTGATATTTGTCTAGTGGTGGGTTTTTTTTATTTTTTGATTTTGGTTTTCGGTTTTTTTGAGTCAAGAGGTTCACTCTGTCCCCTGGGCTGGAGTGCCATGGTTACCGCAAACTTGACCTGCTGGGCTCAGGTGATCCTTCTGCCTTGGCCTTCCAAGTAGCTGGGACTGTAGGTGCATGCCACCACGCCCAGCTAATTTTTCAATTTATTGTGGAGACAAGGCCTTGCTATATTGCTCAGACTAGTCTCGAACTCCTGGATTCAGTCAGTCCTGTTGCCTCCACCTCCTAAGGTGTTGGGATTGCAGGCATGTGCCACTATGACTGGCCTAGTGATTGTTAATAAAGTACTTCTTATGCTAACTAGAGGACTAAAGTTACATGTTAGTAGTTCCCCAGGGAGAAAAATGCAAATGACATTTTTTAGTGTAAATAAAAACTGTAGCAAAGGTAGTTAATATACATTTGTTGCTAATAGATTATCTGGTAATGAAGTACCTTTTATTAAAATGCGTTGGAGATATTTGGGGATTTTGCCATCTCTTAGTACAGAGATTAAGGGGTGGATGGAAGAAGGCTTGTTCTTCTGGGGAGCAGTGGGTCATTTGGGTGCTGGTGAGGAGGTAGGGCTAGGGAAAGGATGGGTGCCTAGATGGTTGAGCCGCCCCTGGGACCAGAGAAAGCACCTCCTGGGCATATACTACTTCCTTATTTGGAGGACACCTGAGGAGGCATGGATACTTTGAGATCCATAGCTCATGTACCCTTTAGAAGAAAATTGATGAATTAAAAGGAATCGAGGAGGAAATCAGTCCTTTGCCTCCACAGTTTGTGAGAAAGTTCAGGACAACTAAGCTTTATCGTAATCTCTTCTCTAACCCAAATCCTGAAAGAGCACTTTCCTGTGAACTTTAACAGTAAGTATCCATGATACCTAATTATTGATATTTAATTATTATACTACTTCTGTATTCTGTTAAAATAATTTTATGTTCTGTTATTAAAATTATTTTATGTATCTCATTGCTATATCTTTTGGTTGACAGTACCTTTTAAAAGCTCTGTTAAGACAACAGATGGTGCTTAGTCCCACAAAGCAGGATATTCCGCCAACCCTGTTTTAAATATTTAATGTTATTTTAATATTTAATAGTTTTGTAGTGAGGTAATTGTAATTAGTAACTCATTTTTAGTGCCTCTTTTAGTGCACAACCAATAAGCATCTTTTTATTATATTAACACTCTTAGGCCTCGCTGGGTGGTTCCAGTTTTGCCGAAAGGAGAATTAGAAGTGCTTTTAGAAGCTGCTATTGACCTTAGTAAAAAAGGTAAGTTTAGATGTTGTTGTGCTTTCCATAATATGTGCTACTAGGTATACTTTCTTCCATTACAGACACTTTCTGTGGCTTATGAGCAAGGACTTGTATCCTTTGGACAACCTTTAAGAGTGTTTTTGAACTCTCTGAAGCTAGACATAAAATTTATGTATATTCGTCTTTCTAAGGAGCATATCATCGTTTAGTCAGATTTACTAAGGGGTTGTCACTCGAGGTTAACCATTGTTAACATAGGGTCTTATCTGTTGAGGGAAATAAAATATACAAAAGAACATTTTTATAATTAAGTACTCTATAGGTGGTGGTTGGTACGTATGATAGACAAGATATATCTGCTTCCTCCCTCTGGTATTTATGTTGAGCCATGTATGTTCTCAAGATATATGTACTATATAAATCTATAAATTGTTTATGCTTGCCCTTTTCTGAAAAGGATACTGACTACTTTCCTGAAGTGGCAATGAATCAGGATGTGTGGATTTTTGTACTTAGAATCTTTATCTGTCATTCTTTGAAAAATACCATTTTATTAATACTATGTTTTTAATATAAACTCTGTAGCTTACATGTTTGTTCTTTATTAACACACAGAAAAGGTATGATTTTTTTCTCTAAAAGACTTAGAAGATGAAGCTTCAGGTTTTAAAAAGCCAATAAAAAGAAACCTGGTGTTTTTCATTTATTTGTCCAGAAGTAAAAGCTTAATGTTGGTATTAATCATTTTTTGCTTTTGTTTTTGTTTTGTTTTGTTTTTTTGAGTTGGAGTCTCACTCTGTCGCCCAGACTGAATGCAGTGGCTGCTCCCGGCCACTGTAGCCTCGACCTGCTAGGCTCCAGCGATCCTTCTGCCTCAGCCTTTCAAGTAGCTGGAACTACAGGCGTGTGCTACACACCCGGCTAATTTTTGATTTATTATAGAGATGAGGTCTCGCCAAGTTGCCCAGGCGGGTCTCGATCCTGAGGGCTCAGGCAATCCACTCACCTCAGCCTCCCAAAGCGCGGGATTACAGGCTGAGCCACCGAGCCCGGCTTATCAGTTCATTTTTTAAGGCATTGGAGATTAAAATAAAAAAAGTTACATTTTATTTTATGAAATAGGATAGCCATGGATGTGCTGTAACTAACAATAGGCAGTCTCACAATTGTAACTGATTATTATCAAAATTAGCACGTTTAGTACCTTGTTTGAGTTCATCTTACTTCATGGCAAGGGAAAATTGAATTTATCTTAACAATAATTACCCCTCTTGTATTTTGGCTTTTTTTTAGATTAGAAAATATAGTTTATTTAGAAGTAAATTGGACGGGGGGTGGGGAGTTTCACCTCACCAAGGTGGGGGGAGGGGGCCAAAGCTAGGAAGCTTGGTGACAGCCATAGGTCAAAGAGCACTTGGCCACATCAGAGTCTAACAAGACATTGGCTACCCCTCTTGTTTAAAGATCATGTCTTTATGCCTTCTTAGTCTTGTAAAAATAATAAACTATGAAAACACATGATCAGATTACAATTTTTTTTTTGCCGCTCAGATTTCTTATGTTCATGTATACATTTATTCACCAATTCAGCAAATTTTTGAAGACGTATGGCTAAGTATTTTCTAAATCCTGATTATAAAGTGATAGGTGAAAGCAGAAATGGTATTTCACTTAATAGCATTGACATTCAGTGAGCATGTTTCCCTTTCTCTCCCATATTTTTTTCTTTATCTTTTCTTTCTTTCTTTCTTTCTTTTTTTTTTTTTAAAGAGACAGAGTCTTGCTTTGTTACCAGGGTGGAGTGCAGTGGTGCGGTCATGGTTCACTGTAACCTTGAACTCCTGGGCTCAAGTGATCTTTTGTCTTGGCTGCCCAAAGTGCAGGAATTACAGGCATAAGCTATTGCACCAGTCCCATATTTCTTTTCTGAGACCGTAGTTATTTTAAACCAAGTTCAAATTTCTTAAAGTTTAGATGTCATCCCTTTTGTACAATCAAAATCAGCTAGTACTTTCTGTACAAATTGAATACTTTTTCATTTTGCCATTGAGTTCAAAATTTTCTTTGGGAGGCCTATGGCTCTGTTGCCTTTCTGAAATAAAGGAAATACGTAAAGGAACAGAGATACTAAGATAGTGAAAGAGACTAATAAAAAAGGCAAGACAATTCATTTTATATGAGCATACATTTATAGAATAATAAGGATATTAATGCTAAGTGTATGATTTATAACCAAAATAAGGCCAGGCATGATGGCTCCCACCTGTAATCCCAGCACTTTGGGAGGCAGGCGAGAGGATTGTGTGAGACTGATTGTCAAGTCTGCAACATGGCGAGACTTTGTCTTTACAGTAAATCAAATTAGCCAGGCATGGCAATGCATCCCTGTAGTTTGGGCTACTTGGAAGGCTGAGGCAAAAAGATCGCCTGAGCCCAGTAGGTCGAGGCTGCAGGGGCTGTGATTGTGCCACTGCCCTCCTGCCTGGGCAACAAGAATTATACTCCGAATTTAAATGAATGAATGATTTTAAAAGTACTTGTAAAATGTTAGTTTTTAAGTTTTAAGGCTTTTCAAGGAGTAAAATAATTTGAAGTATTTAAATTCCCTTTCACATGGTACTCGTAACTATTTGACCAACTCTTAGACATCTTATGATAGTGTTGAGCTTTTCCCCAAAGTTAGTCTGCATTTCTTATGTGTCATTTAACAGTTTATAATTATTTATTACCTTTTATCACATATTAAACATTGTAAAAACAAACAGATAAATATGTTGTTTACAATAATTTTTCTCCCTTTTTTTTAGGCCTTGATGTTAAAAGTGAAGCATGTCAGCGATTTTTTCGAGATGGACTAACAATATCATTCACTAAAATCCTTACAGATGAAGCAGTGAGTGGCTGGAAGTTTGAAATTCATGTGAGTCCCTCATTTGACTTTAAAAATGAGGTTTACGTAGTGATGCCTATGGGTGGGGAGGAGTGGAAGAGAGTGTGTGTGTATAGTATAATTGATCCATTAACTAAAGGATCTAAAAATGAAAAACTTTTAAAAAATAATTTTTATAAATTATTCTCTCTTTTGAATGCAGCTTGTTCATTTAGAATTAGCATGAGATTCATAGTTAGAAAACTTTATTTTCATGTATTTCCTGGCTTCTCAAATATCTTGTGATCTTAGGCAAGTTAACCACATTTCATTGAAAATGTGATGGTATCAATTGTAAGGAGTACTATTATTTTATGGCTTATTAAGGAAGAAAAACATTCAAGATAGGGTATCTCATACATCTGGGTCAGCAAAGGGCCAGTGTAGAATAATGAGCTTACCATGCAGAAAGGGACAACAGAGAAATGTGCGTGTCTCAATTTTGACACCTGGTGAAAGGAGCGAAAAAATTCTGAAAATTTTAAAACCACAAGCCAGCATTCAAATAGTTTTTGTAGTCTGAATTCAAATTAGTTGTGATTTTAAAAAATCCTTAAGTGGGCTGGGTGCAGTGACCCACGCCTTTAATCCTAGCACTTTGGGGAGACCAAGGCAGGAGAATTGCTTGAGCCTGGAGCTTGAGACCAGCCTAAGCAACATACTGAGACCTCATCTCTACAAAAAATCAAAAAAATAAGCTGGGCATGGTGGTGTGCATCTGTACTTCCACCTAGTGAGAAGGCTGAGGCAGAAGGATCTCCTGAGTTGAGGAGGGTCGAGGCTGTGGTGAGCTGAGATCAAGCCATTGCACTCCAATCTAAGCAACAGTGAGACTCCAACTTAAAAAAAAACAAAAACCTTAAGTGAAGAGCTTCAAGTGGTTTCAGATCTATAGTGTCCCCAAGTGACTAGCAGAGGCAAACACAAATCCTCTCTATAAATAATTTCCATTTTGGAAAATAGTAATATACTATTAATTGATTATAAGATACATTCAGATTCCAGAGATCTTAAAATGTGAAAAAGTAGGCTGGGCTCGGTGGCTCAGCCTGTAATCCCAGCACTTTGATAGGCCAAGGCAAGTGGATTGCCTGAGCCCACAGGTTTGAGACCCACCTGGGCAACTTGGAGAGCCCTCGTCTCTACAATAAAATAAAAAATTAGCTAGGTGTGGTAGTATGCGCCTGTAGTTCTGGCTACTCGGAAGGATTGCCAGAGCCCAGCAGGTTGAGGCTGCAGTGGCCAGGAGCACTCCAGTCTGGGCAACAGAGTGAGACTCCCAATTCAAAAAAAAAAAAAAATAGTGAAAAAGTGTGTGTCTTAACTGATAAAATGTCATAATTACTGTAAGTCTCTGTTCCTTGTTTATACTATGGAAATGGTCATAACATGTAAAGCAGATAATATTTTTGTGGTCTGTGACCTAATGCTCAAATATGACCATGGCATAAAAATCCCCAAATCATCTGAATCAATGTTTAATTTTATAAGTTTAAAAATGGAAACTCTGAAAGTGGTGTCAGACTTTTGCATTGAGGTTTAGATAGCAAATCTTCTCCATATTGGATGATTGACATAGTGCTTCGATTGTAGAATTGCTGCCTCTAGTGTACACATTCCAAAGAGGGAAAAATGGTAGTTTGCTTCTTACCTGTGGACATAGAGCAGGAATAGAGAACTTATGACACTCACTTCATTTTGTCAGCCATAGCAAATGACTTTGGAAAGTAGGTACTATATAAATTATGAAGTAAATAAATGCTAGTTTGTGTTTTGAAATTTGGTTAGACCTCAGTATTAGTGAAATTAATATAATTCAAAAGATTAATGTAGAAAAACGGAGAGATCATTATTAGGATATAATTATAATTACGATTAGAAGGTATTTCTATTTGATCTTATAAATCACCTTTCCCCCTTATATAACAGAGATGTATTATTAATAATACTCATCGTCTGGTGGAGCTATGTGTGGCCAAGTTGTCCCAAGACTGGTTTCCACTTCTAGAACTTCTCGCCATGGCCTTAAATCCTCATTGCAAATTCCATATCTACAATGGTACACGTCCATGCGAATCGGTTTCCTCAAGTGTTCAGTTGCCTGAAGATGAACTCTTTGCTCGTTCTCCAGACCCTCGATCACCAAAAGTATGTCGATTTGTGATTTTCTAAATCAATCACAATTGTTTTGCTCTAATACAGAACCTTTAAAGACCTGAACCTCCTCTTAGCATAGGAGAAGAGTAATTTTATATTACTCTTAAAGGGAATTGGCGCTAATTTATGTTTTAGATTCTTTATTTTGTACCAAAGCTATGTTCTGTCTTTTGTTTCTAATGCTAAGATTTTCTATGTTTAAAGTCTGACAGTAAAATTGGTGTTGACACTTTAAATGAAAACATGCACAACTGGGAATCCTTTTCATAGCCATGTTCTTCTAGTTCAGTGCTTATGGCTGTTTTTTTTTGTTTTTGTTTTTTTTGTCCATGTGTAATTAGTCCCTATTGTCTTTTGCTCAGTCTCTTTGGAAATAGTCATAATTTGGGCTAGTATGAAACAGACCATAGTTTTCCTTTGGAATAGGGTAGATTTACTTTCTTGACCAAGTCCAATCTTTAGATATTATAAGATTTTAAATCGAGTATATCCTGTAAATACTAATTATACATCATGAAGTTAAATTACAGTAATTAGAAATGAAAGCAGGATAGTAAATCTTTTAAATCCTGCTTGAATATGTATATTCTGTACATAAACATAAGTTTGCTGTATTGGTGTAAACAGATTATACTCTTAAAGTTTTAAAACTATTTTCCTAAACTAAGCTTCGTTTAATAAATATTTAAAATAACCGTACAGTTTTTAAATACCAGAATTTAGGAGAGACATTTTAAATATTTGGGTCTCTAAAAAAATTTTTTTCTAACCAGTGAGAAATATTTGAAGTCATATACAGTACTTGGTTTAGTCTATTAGAAGCTGAAATCATCAAAATATGTTGAACTTTTTTGAGATTTTTCTGATATTCTCCAGTTCATTTTGTTGCCACTAGACAGCTTATTTTTGCTTGAGTAGTTCAGATTAATGTGTAAAGAATGGCAGTCCTCAAAATAAAAATTTTAATCTATACCTGTATTTCTTTTTTTATTTTTATTTTATCGTTTGTTCTGTTGGTCAGCAGTCTACAATTTAAGATATTCATTAGGAACAACTTGATTTAACATGGCTAAATACAAAATTTTCAGGTGACTTTTGGTTGAAGATATGTTTATATCTTTAATAGCATTTAAGAGTACAATTTTTTTTTATATAGCCAAAATTGTGGTTAATGCAGGAGAAGCAAATTGTGATGTTACCTACTCATTTACTTCTTACTGAAATTGTAGATATTTTGTTTGATCATATTGCTAAAGTATTGTATAAACTTTTAAAAAATTGAATAAACGATGATATATTTGGCAGAATTTACAACCATATCCCTAGTTGGATGCAGACACCATGATATAATGAAGAACCTAGGGGAAATGTGAAAGTCCATATGTTTTTTCTTATTCTCCAAAGGTGGTAGTGGCAAAATTCACATCATCAAACTTGGCTGATGAGGGTAAACTTTCTATAGATTACTGTATACGTAACTAATTTTGTAGTGACTTCTGTTAGCCATTGAGAAATTTCAAGTTACACAGCTTAAAAGTTTGTTTTACTAGGAATATTTTGAGTTTTAATTCTTAAATCATCCTCTAGAGTTTTTACTAGGTTTTCCCTTCCACTTCTACTTCTCTCTACATTCCCTGCCCCCTAGAATACACGGAACTTCTGTTGCCCCAACTTCGACCCATGACAAAACTAAAGCTGTCAAGGACTATCTATAAGTGTTACCCATCTCTTACCTAGTCTGAAAATGTTTGAGATTATTTATTCAAACATTAAAAATACAAGAAAAACTTCACTGATTGAGACAGAAGGTCTCAGGTGATATTCAACTGTTTTATCTTTAAGAAAAAGGATCTTACGCAATAGTACAGGTAAAGCTACATTTGAAGAATCTGACAAGTTCTTGGCTGTGTGATCATTTTAAATTTTTCTAGCTAGGTGTTTCTCTGCCAGTCTTGACAACTTACAGCCAGATAAGGAAGGTTTTTGTTCACAGCTGCTAAAGCTAGCTTATTAACTGTACCTTGCTTTGAAGCACTCTGAGTATTCCTAAGTTGCTTAAACATATATTGTAGCTGAAGAAATAGGGAAAGATTCGCTTTAGACTGGTTCTCTACTTGGTGTGCACATGCTATTTTATATATAATGTAGAACTATTGTGTTTATCAGTCTACTAGTCTTCATTCCATTTACTGAAGAAATAAAAATATATTACATAATGTGCATATACTTACAATTGCTGAATGCAGAAAGGAATCTGGTGAATTTTAAGTACTCAGAGTTTTAATGGTTTTCAGTTAGTCTTTAAAAAAAGTAAAAAGATAAGAAAACACTGTAATGACTACCTTATATTGACCTATGCTAGTAGACTTTAGAGAATTTAGTTGACTTAGATTCTCATAAAACCATATCATAACTACCATTAGCGACCGTATTTTCTTTTTAAACAAGCATTAAAAATAGAACCATTTATTAAGCATCTTCTCTTTTTCCTGGATATTTTTAAAATAGTTGTAGAAATTATTTTTCTTTAAGACTTAGTAGAGAAATTGCCTTTTTCCTCTCAGTGGCTTCTAAAATGTGGTCTTTTAGAAGAAGGCCAAGGTATAAAAGGTTGCCTTAGGTGCCTTAACTTCCAGATGCATTAGATTCTTATAGTCATGCAGCCTTTTATTTTTTTTTTTTTTGCTTATAGACATGCTTTTAGCTACACAGCTGTTGCCTATCCCAGCTGCATTTTACTTTGAGTGTCTGCTGTTTCTTAAAGAAGAGATTGAAAGACAATCCATGCTTTTAAATGGTGCTACTTCTAAGAGGAGGAGAAGTAGGTGCATTCATTTAAGTCAGCAAAGATACCAACCAGCATATTCTAGTTAGGAACAGCAGATATTAATACCAGGGGTTAGTTTTTAATTCACTCTCAGACTTTAAGATTATTATTTACAGCTACAACAAGAAATGGATTCAAAATCCATTTTATTATGTTACAAAGTAGCTTTTTAAAAATATTTTTTGAAGTCATTTTACCTCAATATTGTTTAATACAAAGTATTTTAATATAATTAGAAGATACTCATTCTTATATGGTAGAATAGCTGAAATGGAAGCATGACTTATAATTCCTGTTCACTTGCTATGCAACTGTGCCCCAGCAATCTAATCTGTATTAGCTATGTATACTGCTTCTATCTTTGCTGTGAACAAAATGCAATATTTTGTGGCATTTTTAAAGATGATTAGACATAATTTGTTTTATTGAATTTACTGTTTCTAGTATGTTTCAATAAAGGTTAGTACTTTTTTCCTCCTAAAAGTAGGGAGTTAACTTTTTTTATTTAATTGTATTGCAGGGTTGGCTAGTGGATCTTCTCAACAAATTTGGCACTTTAAATGGGTTCCAGATTTTGCATGACCGTTTTATTAATGGATCAGCATTAAACGTTCAAATAATTGCAGCCCTTATTAAGTAAGTTAAGTTTTTAAATCAATGTTCAGTGTACTATAGAAGTTGCTGTTTTGCAGCTAATATAAATAGTATGAGAGTTTAGTCTTGAATTGATTTTAAGAAAACCGAGTATTACAGGAGTTTTATGTGTTTCTTATTTCAGACCATTTGGACAATGCTATGAGTTTCTTACTCTTCATACAGTGAAAAAGTACTTTCTTCCAATAATAGAAATGGTTCCTCAGTTTTTAGAAAACTTAACTGATGAAGAACTGAAAAAAGAAGCAAAGAATGAAGCCAAAAATGATGCTCTTTCAATGATTATTAAATCTTTGAAGAATTTAGCTTCAAGGGTTCCAGGACAAGAAGAAACTGTAAAAAACTTAGAAATATTTAGGTTAAAAATGATACTTAGGTAAGATACTTACCTTTTGAAATAATTATATATGTGACTTTTTAGAATCATACTTACCACTGAATTTCTCTATTACAGATTATTGCAAATTTCTTCTTTCAATGGAAAGATGAATGCGCTGAATGAAGTTAATAAGGTGATATCTAGCGTATCATACTATACCCATCGGCATGGTAATCCTGAGGAGGAAGAGTGGCTCACAGCTGAACGAATGGCAGTAAGTCTTTCGATTCTTCTTTTTATGAATAAGAATCTACTGAGAACAAAAATTAGAATAGTTCTAGTCAAAATTAATAATATTAACATTTTAAAGTAAACCTTGAAATTGGGAGGTGTTTCGGTTGATTCATAACTCTGTTAATCCTGAGAACTTTTGTCGTAACATAGTTTATTATTCAGTAGTGATATGGGTAACTTAGCACATCTTTTATAAACTTACTGTTGAATGTGGTATTCTGAAGTAATTATTAGCTAATTGGGAGGGCAGGTAGTTGATTGAAATGGAATAGTTATATGTGATCTAGGGAATGGATTGGGTAGTATCTGGTACCTAATAAAGGAAGTGGATAGTACAGAAAATGGTATTATGTGTATAGAAACTTTTGTTGCAATTGGACATTGCCACATTTTTATTGTATTTTACAGAAATATCTGTAACAGATTAGAAATAAAAGACTGGATTCCATGGCTCCTGCCTGTAACCCCAGTGCTTTGGGAGGCTGAGGCAGGAGGATCACTTGAGTCCAGGAGTTAGAGACTACAGTGAATTATGATTTTGCCACTGCCCTCTCGCCTGGGTGACAGAACGAGACCCTGTCTCTTGAAAAAGATATATATATTAGAATTAAAAAACGGAGTCTTTATCAGCTGAGAAGTATACTTCTGTTACTCTTTTGAGCCTATTCTTTATCAATAATCTGATGATTATAAAATCATATAGTGTGAATTGCTACCTATTTGAATCATGAGTTAGCACTTTTGTTGATGTAGGTATTAAATTAATACTAGTCAAGCAACCTAGCATAGTGTCTTAGAAACACTGTGGAAGCATGCAGATTTGATTCGGATTTCAGTTTCAGCATCTGTGAGCCTGTTTACTTTTCTGTAATAGGATAATGTATCCTTTACTAGGAGTGTTTAGAAGATTAAAGAGCTAGTGGATAAGCAATAATAGTGTCTAGCATGTCGTAACCAGTTAATAAATAAAAGTAAAAAGTATAGAGTACCTTTTTCCTAAGGTCAAAACATGATTCTGTGGCAAAACTTATATAAGGAATCCGAAGATCCTAAAATTGGTCCTTTACCCACCCACGTAAATCATGGTGATTGTTGTGCATGTGAATATTTTTTGGAGTGTTGGAGTGTATTTTTAATTTATGGGATCATTTTTTTTGTGTGGCAAATTCAGTGTTAGGAAATTAGTGATTTTCTTTTCATAGTTTTCCATTGAAACAGTGAGCATATTGGTGTATTATATTTTGTTTTTTAATGCCTTACATTGTTTAATAGTGTGAGCAATATTTTTTTTAAAAAGCTGTGTTTCAATTTCTGCTTAGAAACAAATTTTTGAATTACATTTAGGAATGGATACAACAGAACAATATCTTATCCATAGTCTTGCGAGATAGTCTTCATCAACCACAGTATGTAGAAAAACTAGAGAAGATTCTTCGTTTTGTCATCAAAGAAAAGGCTCTGACCTTACAAGATCTTGATAATATCTGGGCAGCACAGGTAAGGAATTTAAGTTATTTAGTTTTTAAAAGAAAGGCACTGAAAAAATACAGTAGTTGTCATGAAATGAAATGCAGGCTGGTATTGTTTGCCATTCATTGTATTTAAATTCGAGTTATATTTACAGAAATCCTGCTGGGAGTCTTTTAAGTAGCCAGGAATATTTTTTAAATAAAAAATAATATGCCATGTACTGTGTTTTGTAATAGTTGGCAATTTGTAGATGGTTTTAAAGAGGCAAACAGTAAAATAATAAATTTATAGAAAGAATGTAAGACATCTATAATTGGTTTCTTCAGAGACTTAATAGAAGAAACCTCCAATGTCAAGAGAGTTTAATCACTCAATTATTTATAAAGACCTGTAATAATTATTCCAGTGGATTTGCAACTTTTCAGAAGGATTGGTAATGTTTTTGGTTTCAGAGCTAGAAACTGTAATTCATTCTATCATGACAGTTTTCTACTCATGGATTACTTGGGAAGCATTGTTGAGTTCTAGATTATAAAACTTTGTTTTTATAGTGTATATAAACCACAAAAAGTTAGTTTTCCCATTGAGTATTATAGTTCCAGTTTTGAAACAATACCATTAATATACCTTCTTTTTCTCCTATTTACAGTGTTAAAATTGGTATGTTAAACTCAAACTGTGACAAAAGTTCATGTGAATTTTAAAAGTACAAATCAGCCATGTATATCAAGAAATTGACTTGCCAGATTTTAGAGGGCAGTTCTAGAACATTTTATTATTTTTAAAAGTTTAAGAACTTTTTTATGTTATGTAATTAAATGGAAGAGATGATAATACTTTATTAATGTTTGTCTGCCCTTAATATATATTACTTACCTGCTATTCAAACTCTAGCGTGTTATGATTTCGTTTTTATTTGTTTTTCAATAGGCAGGGAAACATGAAGCCATTGTGAAGAATGTACATGATCTACTGGCAAAATTGGCATGGGATTTTTCTCCTGAACACTTGATCATCTTTTTGATTGCTTTAAGGTAATTGTTAACATAGCAAAGTATTACCATTTTGTTTTATTATTTTTAAGTTCTACCATTTTAGTTTATTATTTTTTGAATCGTGGTCTCTCTCTGTCACCTAGGCTGAAGTGCAGTGGCACAATCATGACTTAAACCACAGCCTCAAACTCCAAGGCTCAGATGATCCTTCCGCCTCAGCTTCCTGAGTAACGGGTTATAGGCACGTGCCATCAGGCCTGGCTATTTTTTTTTTTTTCCTTCCTGTAGAGACGAGGTCTTGCTATGTTGCCTAGGCTGGTCTTGAACTCCTGGGATCAAGCAGTCCTCCCACGTCAGCCTCCCAAAGTGCTTGGATTACAGATGTGAGCTGCTCTCTGGCTCTGTTGTATTTTTAATAGAATTGATTCATTTGATCACTGAGTTGCTCTTAGCAAGTAAATATGTAAATAGAAATCTCATTACACAGTCTCTGGTATGAAGGAATTAGCCATTGTTTTCTTTTTCAGTGAGAACTTGATGTTCATTTTTTTGTAATGGTCCCCATAAATAAGGAATCTTACTATTTTTCAAAACTCAGGGGTTATCACTTTGGATTTCTTACCCCTGGAAATTTTTGTATTTTGGTTCAAGCAAATTGTAGGACTATAGAGAAGGATAATTGCAAAGGTGACAACAAGAGTATACCAATATCCAGGTATTCTGGGGTCATATGCACAGCAAAATGGGACTTAATGGAAATGTATTTCATAAAGTAGCCCAAGAGCCCGTACAGTTATATATGCGTTGTTGTGATCATGCACTTTTTAAGGCCAAGTTGTATAATCACCAAGGCCTCAACTTCCAAAGCTTAGGCGATCCTTCTGCCTCAGCCTCCTGAGTAACATCTTTGTACATTTGGTAGGGTTGGATTTTATATGCCAAGCAGTCAGTGCATTTGTGGATTAAGAACATAAAACCTTATGGCAGTGTTCACAGAGAGTCGTTTTATTACTTGGCATTAGATATGAGATCACCAAGGTTTCTTTTTTAAAGATAACAATTACACTGACTGATGGGAACATAAATTGCTATAACCACTTTGGAAAATAGCTTGGTATTTCTGGTAAAGTATAACGTTCTCATGACTTAGCAGTGTGGCTTCTGAATATATACCTGAGAAACTCATGCTTATGTGCACCAGCATACATGTTCAACAACACTTATAACCAAATTATTTATAATAGCAAAAAACTGCTGTGTAGAATACATAATGAGTAGAATGGATAATTGTGAAATGTTCATATGATGGAGTGCTTCATGGCCACAAGAGTGAGCAAATTAGAGTAACTTAACCATATGAACGTGTCTGATAAACAGAAAGTTGAAGAAAGGAACAAAATCACACAAGGATTCCTATACCTTGATTACATGAACACAAACATCAGAAATAGACCCAGCTGGCTTCTGGGGCACTGCTTATAATGTGTTGTTTTTGACCTGGGTAATTGTATACTGTAATAATGGTATAGGTTTGTATCTTTCTAGGTACAGTAGAAGAACAAAAATAGTAGCATTTACTGGTGACCACCTCAGACATGTGAACTAATAATTGCTAGCTATGATACCTGTGAGTCTGTCTTTTAAGCAGGTTTCTCAGATGAGTCTTATGTACATTAAAATAGTGCTTTATGGAAAAAGCTTTATGCTTTATGTAAGAATTGCCCCCTTGTGGAAAAATGTATTTAGAAAGGAACAAAGTATTGAGTGAATCTTTTGTGCATTTTTAATGATTTTTTTATATATGTAAAAGGAAAAATTTTTAAACATTTTTTAATCCATTGAAATACATCAAAGGAAGCTGAAATATAATAGAATTGGTTATCATGGTTAATTGCAATATATTTTTAATCTTGTGATGACTTTTGAAATGGTGATATGTGACCAGTGATGACCATGATAGGAGATGGAAATTGTTACTACATTCTCTGGATTCTCCTCTTTTTAGGATGGTTTATATATAATTTCTTCGTGTCTTTCCCCCCTTTGGCTTTTATATTTTGTTTACTGAGCACTTGTCATTTGGTAACAAGCACCTTTTTTTGAGGTGTTGATGAATCTAGCAGTTCTTACGGAGTGTGTCTCGAAAGCTTTTACTAAACGTGATTTGATTTTAGAAGGTGAGATCGCCAAATTCTAGACACTAGACAATTCAATGATTTTAGAAGGAAGCATGACGTCTAAATCTTTGTAGTTCTTTATAGATTGCAACCAAATGGTTCCAAATTTGTTTATTAGACTTTGCTTTATATACTCAGATTCTAGTTTTTAAATGTTTGAGTTCTAAGTAAATCTTTGTTTTCTTTCTTTTTTTAAGAACTTCTGAGCTCAAAGCAGTTCTCCCACCTCAGCCCCCCAAAGTGTTGGTATTAAATCTTTGTTTTCTAGCTGGACGTTGTGGCTCACGCCTGTAATCCCAGCACTTTGGGAGGCTGAGACGAGAGGATTGCCTGATTCCCCCATGGATTCGAGACCAGCCTGGGCAACATGGCAATACCTCGTCTCTACAGTAAACCAAAAAATTAGCTGGACATAGTGGCACACACCTGTAGTTCCAGCTCCTTGGAAGGCTGCAGTGGGAGGATCGCCTGACAGGTCAGGGCTGCGGTGGCCATGAGTGTGCCACTGCACTCCAACCTGGGCGACAAAGTGAGACTCTGACTTTAAAAAAAAAAGAGAGAGAATAAGAATAAGAATAAGTCTTTGTTTTCTTAAGTAGTTATATCAATTTAGTATCATTAAGACTTTCCTATTCTTGCCAGCATTTGTTTTTGTCAGTATTATGAATTTTTGACAGTCTGCTTGGTGTGTGAAATGTTTCCTCGTTTGTAGTATTAGTTTTTATATCCTTAATAATGAAATTGAGTATCTTTTCATATATTTTTGAGCTATTTGCTTTTTGTGTGTGTGAATGTCTATTCAAGTCTTACTTATTTTTCCCATGTTATTGTTTTTTAGGTATTCTTGACATATTCTGAATGCTAATCCTTATCATTTCTATAGTTAAAAAACTTTATCCCAGTTTGTGGTTAATCACGCACCTTATGGTTGCTTTGGTTGAACAGATGTTCTTTTCCTTTTCTTTTTTTTTTTTTCCACTCTGTCGCCAGACTGGAGTGCAGTGGCCGCTCCCGGCCACCGCAGCCTCGACCTGCTGGGCTCCGGCAATCCTTCCGCCTCAGCCTTCCGAGTAGCCGGAATTACAGGCGTGCACTACCATGCCCGGCTGATTTTTTGATTTATTGTAGAGGTGAGGTCTCGCTGCCCAGGCGGATCTCGAACCCGGGGTCTCAGGCAATCCACTCACCTCAGGCTCCCAAAGGCGCGGGATTACAGACTGAGCCACCAAGCCCGGCTTCTTTTCCTTTTCATATGTAAATTATTTTTTAGTCTGTATCTCTTAAAGACAAGTATGCGAAAAAATTTATAATACCGTCATTTACCTAAAAATTAGTAATTCCTTGATACCATCAAATAGTGTTAAAACTTCCTGATGTCTCAGATCATACTTCATTTGAGAAGTGTATTTAAATCAGGATCCTGTTGCGGTGCATACATTGTAATTGGTTGCGTATGTCTTTTATGTCTCTTTTAAACTAGTTTCCCTCTTTTTCGTTTTCTTCTCTTGCAATTTGTTGAAGAAACTGGATTGTTTGTTGCTTTGGTGTATATCGGTAGTTTGATGCAGAAGCTTGATTTATTTTTTTTCTTTCACTGCAATACCTTGTAAATGATGACATGCTGTTGCTTGAGGAGGAATACCTGGTTGTCTCTCCTTTTATAATGTTAGCCAGATATTCTTAATTGTAATGTCTAATATCTAAGTCTTTTCTTATATTCTTAGCAGTTTCCACTTCCTTGTATTTTGCATGGGCTAGGAGGAATTAGAAATATGCATTCAAATTGTCTTAAAAGGGATCCCGTATTTATCAGTTTAAATGTCTGTAATAATTCTATCAAAAGGATTCTCTAACTTCTTCAATCTTCTATAGTTTGACATTACGTTCATTTCCGTTTATTTTTCAGCAAACACTGATAAGCAGCAAGTGTTTTAGTTCATTTTCTGCTGATGTAACAATACCAGAGATCAGACAGTTCTTAAAGAACAGAAGTATATCTGGAAGCTGAGAAGTCCAAGAGCATGGCACTGGCATCTGGCAGGGCTCATCCTGTGGCCAAAGGATACACATGGCGAGGAAGCACACACATGAGACAAGTGGGCTGAACTTATCCTTGTACGAGGAGCCCACAGCCACAATAATGACATTATTCCATTCATTAGGGCAAAACCCTTGTTGACCTAATCACCTCCGAAAGGGGTCCCACCTCTAAATACTGTCAAAATGGCAATTAAATTTCAACATTAGTTTTGGAGGGATTTTTAAACCATAGCAGCAACTTTATGCATAATACTTTTCCCTTATTGTTCGGCATTCCTGGCCTCTACCCAGTAACTGCCACCAGTACCTCTCTTTTCCTCAAGTTGTCATAACTGTTTTGTTTTAAAATATCCCTTTCGACATTTGGTATTTTAAAATTTGATTTTAGAGTTTTTAAGTGAGTATTCTCTTCTAAATTGAAGTTAACGTTGTATCATTTGTATTTAGAGTTTATTTTTATTTTTCTTGGTTAATAACTTTGTCACAGCGTGTTTTTTGCTTTCAAATGTGTAATGCACATTGCTGTATAATAAGCTTTTTTCATTTATTATGAAAATCTTTATATATCAAGTTGTCTTTGCTGTCTTTTAATATAATTTTAAAGTCAGAGACTAAATCTAAGGTTCTCAACGGGGGCAATTCTGCCCCCCAGAGATAGTTGACAATCTGGAGACATTTTTGATGGTCACAACTGGATAGAGGAGTTGCTATTGCCTTTTCCTGGGTAGAGGCCAGGGATGCTGCTAAATACCCTAAAATGCATAGGACAGTCCAATAACAAAGAAATTTCCAGTCCTAAATGTCGGTAATACTGAGGTTGAAAAACTCTAGTCTAAGGTGTTTATTTAACCGTAAATAAAGGTTTTTCTTTTTTCCTTAAATTTATCCCTACCCTGTGAGATTTATTTCAGATGTCACATGCTCAGCATGTTTTTTTCTGATGACTATAGTTAACCCAGTGACACTTAAAGAGTGATGACCAAATATGTTATTTTTGTGTCACTTAATTTTTTTCTAGGCCAGTTGGACAAATGCAAGTAAAAAACAACGTGAAAAGCTACTTGAACTGATACGTCGTCTTGCAGAAGATGATAAAGATGGTGTGATGGCACACAAAGTGTTGAACCTTCTGTGGAATCTGGCCCACAGTGATGACGTGCCTGTAGATATCATGGACCTGGCTCTCAGTGCCCACATAAAGATACTAGATTATAGTTGCTCCCAGGTAAGGGTTTACTGCTTTACTCACTTTTTGTGACCTTCTCCTTTATAGTTAAAAATACAAGAGTTTCAGCTTATCCTGACATTATTTTTCAAATGATCTTTAAAAATTGGCGTACTTTGCTCATGGAAGTCTGCCTTCCTTAGATCGCCACATCAAGGTTTTGTGAGTCATCTGAAAAGAATTTTCGTCTCCTTTGGAGAAAGAACATATAAACAAAATGGGTTATATAGTAGTATTATTGTCATGTGTGGTTCTGAAATACAAGTTTCAAATAGGTCTTAAAATACTAAAGCTGGTTTAGGGATGTTAGAAGTGAGAGAATTTAGGTTGTTTTTACTCACAGGGAAGCTAATATTTAGTGCCTTCACAATGAGCGAATCACACAACAGCCGCCCTGCATTCTAACGTATAGCATGTGTATCTTTTAACACATGGTAAAATGAATGCTGCTGAGTGACTTCCCACTTGCTCATAAAACTATTTACTACACTGTTGAACTGGTATTTAGGTAATAGCTAAGAAAAGAAGCTCAAGTAAGTATAACTAACGTAGATACTACTCAGTTTGGGACTATGCTTGCTTGAGGCAGTTCATTAAGAACTCTGCATATTAAATAGTAATAGTGCCTCAAGTTTAAATTATTTCATTAAATCGAGAGTCCTTATTTGGAATCAAAGCCGTACATTTGCTATCAAGTGTTTAACTAGTAGCTTCTCTTTTAATTAGCTGTTAGTATCAGTGCCTGGCACAGTGTTTTACACATTAATTCACAGTTATGGGATTTCACTGAATTTAATAGAGTGTGACCTTTTTCAACTTTCATTTGTTGCTTGGAAAACAAATTTTTAAGCCATTCCTCTCTCACCTTTTCCCCTCCTGGACAAAAAAAAATTCTTTTAAAAACCATGATACATCTAATCATGTACAGCTGTTTTCATGGCCTTAAAAATATACATACTATTAAAACTCAGCACTTCTACTTATAGATATTTCTTTCTAGAAATGGTTGTAAGAGAACGTGAAGAAGTATGACATCCAGTGGTATTTGTAGACATGAACACTTGGAAGCCTCCTGAATAATTACTAGTAGTTTATCGAATGTTTTATTAGATAGCCATCAAAAATGGTTGTTGATGTGGAAGAACAGATTTTACTGACGTAGAAAATGTTAATATATATCATTAAAGTATGACCCTAATTTTGTTAACAGCAAAGGAATATCTATGTATTACAAAATAACCCCAAACATTAGGGTTTCTCTCTCTCTCGATTGTTTTAAACTTACTTCGTTGCCTTACCACTATTTTCTACAAATTTTCAGTGTTCTTCACTGTGCCAAAAAACACACTCATTTAGGATAATAATCAGGGCATTTTATGTTAATTTTAGATTTTATGATATGATAGAGTCTCTTAAAACATTGGATGAAAATCTATATCTACCATTTAGCAAACTTAAAACCAAACTTTCTGTCAATGTACTAAATACTCAGGATCTTTACTTTTGTGTGTATGTATTTGAGTCCATGTAATACTGACCTTTTATAACAGTACTCTGCTTTTTGGCATTTTGGTAGTAAATATGAAATAACAATGTGCTTAAACCTTTTTTAAAAAGATTTAAATTTAAACTTTTCACAATTACAGCTTAATGTTTGTAATGCTAATTGTAAAAGCTTTTATACTTCTCAATAAAGTTAAAGTGGAATACTTCAGTATTGATCTATATAAAACATTAAAATTTGTTTAAGGACCGTGACACCCAAAAGATCCAATGGATAGATCGCTTTATAGAAGAACTTCGCACAAATGACAAATGGGTTATTCCTGCACTGAAACAAATTAGAGAAATTTGTAGTTTGTTTGGGGAAGCACCTCAGAATTTGAGGTAAGACTCTAAAGACAGAGATTTTCAATATTTTTATTTATGTATTTTTCTGAAAAGAAACAGCACTATCCGTTGGTAAAAGCATATGCTAAAGAAAGAAAATTAGCAGAGTAAGAAAAGACTAAGAAGAATTTGTTTAGAACAAAAGAAGAATCTTTTACTTTATCTACTTCCTTTGTTTTATTGATGAAGTAAGCAACAATTAAACGATAAGTATCAGAATCAGGATGATAATATTGCCTTTGGGTTCTCGGTTCATAATTATTATTCTATATTTTATGTTATTGTATTTCCAACAAGTGTGCCAGGAAGTTTCATGGCAAGTCTTGTGTCAGTCTCATTCTTAAGTTCATTTTATTGTTCTTGCCTTTATCAATTTTAGAACATTATTCTACTACAGAATAGCTTTCTTTTCTTTCTTTTTTTTTTTTTTTTTGAATTGGAGTCTCACTCTGTCGCTCAGACTGGAGTGCAGTGGCATGCTCCCAGCCACCACAGCAAACTGCTGGGCTCCAATGATCCTTCTGCCTCAGCCTTCGAAGTAGTTGGAACTACAGGTGTGTACTACCACACCTGGCTAAATTTTTATTTATTGTAGAGACGAGGTCTCACCAAGTTGCCTGAGTGGTTCTTGAACCCGCATGCTCAGGCAGTCCACTCTCCTCAGCCTCCCAAAGTGTTGGGATTGCAGGCTGAGCCACCAAGCCCAGTCAGAGTAGCTTTCTAAGTAAAATAAGCCTATGTAGGTAGATAGGTAGGTAGGTAATGGCGAATGGCAGGATCTTGCTCTGTTGCCTAGAATGGTCTCGAACTCTGGGCTCAAGTGATCTTCCCACTTCAGCCTTCCAAAGTTGCTGGAATTAGTCATGAGCTACCAAGTCCAGCCACTGTTTCTTTTTGTTTTAAACCCTTTGCACTCAGACTCATCTGGTGGATCAACTACCAGCAACTCAACTGTACTTCTTAATGAAATAGTGAAAAACGAATCACTTCATGTTAAATTGTATAGTGTTGGAACCAATTATTTGATTGTAATGATATTTGGCTTATAATGGAATTTTGGATGTTGAGGAACTTATTTATGACCAAAAATTTTGTATTTTATATTTTTTTTACCATGTGAAACAGTCACCAACATGCATTACAGGATCATTGATATGCGTTGTGCTGTAGTAATTTGTTTGGTATCTTCTACCTTGTGTTTTTCAATTTGAGCAGATAATGTAGTATCATTTTATTTCTCCCACATTAATAATATGTAATTTATTGTCCAGTCTATTGTTCCATGATGATGTGTAGGGACATTTTCTTTCTGTGTAACATCAGTTGATATTTTTTTAAACATATATTTCAATATATATTCCATCTCTTTATTTGCTTTTTTTGTGCAATTTGAATGGAAAACTTCAAGGAAACATATGCTTTTGAGAAGTTTACACTGGCATAAGTTGGTCCTGTATAATCACCAGCAATCTCTATGTCCCCTGAGAGGGGACATCTGAGTGCAAAGTGTTAATAGTTATTTTTTAAGCTAATTTCAGAATTATACTGCAAGGACATTTAAATTTTGAAAGATAGCAAGAAACAGTTAAAAATTTTTGCTAGGCGACCTTCTTTCAGGTCCCCTCCTACTGTGGGAACTTTTCTGTCTTCTTAATAAATCCTGCTGGGCTTGGTGGCTCAGCCTGTAATCCTGCGCCTTTGGGAGGCTGAGGTGAGTGAATTGTCTGAGCCCGCGGGTTAGAGACCCGCCTGGGCAGCGAGACCTCATCTCTACAATAAATCAAAAAATCAGCCGGGCGTGGTAGCGCATGCCTGTAATTCTGACTACTCGGAACGCTGAGGCGGAAGGATCGCCAGCGCCCAGCAGGTTGAGGCTGCGGTGGTCGGGAGCGGCCACTGCCCTCCGGTCTGGGCGACAGAGTGAGACTCCAACTCAAAAAAAAAAGTTAGTTCAAGCGTGGTGGCATACACCTGAAATCCCAGCTGCTCAGCAGACTGAGGCAGAAGAATTGCCTGAGCCCAGGAGGCCAAGGCTGTGGTGAGCCGTGATTGCACCGTTGCACTCTAGGCTGGGTGACAAGGCGAGACACTGACTCAAGAAAAAAGACAATATGAATATGATCTCTGTATTGATTTGTGGTATATTTTAACATGATCGCTGTGTGAATTAGCAGGGCACCATATTATATTCGCACTTCATCATTGTAATAACGACTCCCGTTTCTTGAGTCTGAGTGGCTGGTCTAGCTGACGGCCCTCTCCTTGGAGCCTCAAGCCCTTCCATCCGTTCTAGACTCTGCTGTTGCTCTGAGGGTCAAACACAGAAAATGACTCACTGACCCCATCAGTGAGCTGCCCAGAGTCCCTCCCTCCATCCGCCCATCCCTCCCTGCAACCCTCCTCCTCCATCTGTGCATCCCTCCCCCACCCATTCACCCCTTCACTCCCCCGCCCATCTGCCCACGCCTCCGTCC